TGGATTATCCTTTAAATTGAATCACTGTTCTAAATTGTTATGCTTCCCTCAAAGCTACTAAGCTGCCTGTGTAACCTTAGCAACGTGCTAAAACATTAGCAGGCACACTAAACAAGTATACAAGTGTCTGACTTTTGCTTCATAACCTTTCAATTCTGAGTTACAAAAAATTATAAATGCAATTATTTGACTTTAAAAAAGCATGATAATTCAATCTCCGATTGACAGATTTAGGCTTTAATTATCCTGAATGACAAACTTCAGCTGACATATCTCATTTTGTTTGTTTTTAGCACTTCCATATTATATTGTGCAAATGTTATATTGTGCATTAGGCATGTGTCTGTTGTATTATATTGTGCCTACTGCATTGAGCTTTCAAAAAAAGATTTTTCCACTCGGATGTTGACGTGAACAATATTTAGTCAAAAGCTGGTGAACCCAGTATTTTCTAGGGTGGGCGATATGGATGAAATCCTCTGTTACATACATGTTATGCTGTGATGTAATAAATCACTTGAAAAACTTTTTATTGATAAGACAGATATGCCAATCGGTGGCTTATGCAGTGAATTAAATACCTGATAAATCAAAGTACTTCATCTTATGATGCAAAAAGCCTGAAACAGTCCAATATGGCCATAAACAGTTTTGCTCAATGATTTGCAATGTTGTCTAGCCTCCACCAATTTAACTTAATGCACTCCTATAACATTGTTTGACATGATAGACAGCAGAACCAACGTTTCACCTATGCAGTAGTACTCCCCATCACCAGTGGGGTATAAAAATACTATAAATGGTATAAAGAGCATAGAGAGAACAGTGTATTTAGTCAAGTCTACCACCCCTAGTAACTTTTTTTAGGGTCACATCGGCTCAGACATCACCAGCCTTTACACATCCGATCATAGGGGGCTGTGGCCAGACGAATGTTAGCCTCAAGACAGAGGGCGGTACGTCTTTACCTTTAGACCTATATCTTGTTCCATATTGAGTTCCATCTGTCAAATACATACATCACCCATCTGCCACCAGCTACATTGGCCGCCAGTCATGTAGCAATGTTGCTAGTTGTCCCGCCAATCACTGTAGCACCACTGGTGCCACTTTCATCTGTCTCAAAGTGGCCTTTGGACAGTAGCAGAGTGATGTGGTTAAAGCAGTGTGAAGGCAGTGAGCTAGATGAATGAATAGATACATGGACAGATAAATGGATTTGGTTTAATTTCATCATTCAACTGTTGTATTGCACTCATCCAGTAATCACACCTTTTATAGGTTATTTCATGATTCATATATTCATTGAGGCTAAGAACAAGTCTGCTATTTTTAATGCGAAGCCACTGGTGTGTGTTTGAATTCCCTTTTTACTTGCATCCCTGAAACATCTAGGTTATACCCCTGAGTGATCTGCACTGAGCCAAAGTAGTCATGTGAGCTCTGAAGTTGGGAAAGGATACATTGATTTATTTGGCCTTACATGGTTTTCACTGCTCTGTACAGTGTTACCCTTTCAGTAAGGTGTTGGAAGGTACTGTAGGTTAGATGGTGAGCTTTTTTGAACCACATACAATTTTCCTGCTGTCGAAAGCAACCACGTAGCAGTTATTACACAGTAAATTAAGTGTTGAGTGAGTTTTTTGGCTCAGGGACCTGCTATAAAATCTATTGGGTAATCTAAAATATAGTTCCTACAGCAGGTGCCAATGGATTAATGAGCATTCTTTGAATAGCATACTTTTTTTAGATGTGTGTTTTTTGCCCGACAGCACCAATTTGCTCAATTTCAGCCACACATCTTTTCTGATGCGTTTAGTGGGTGGTTGAGCGAGATTGGATGGGGAGAGACGGCCAACACGAGGCAGCTCATGAAGAGTTTCATTTTGTGGCGTCTCAATTGAGTCTACCTGCATCACTGGGTCAAGCCGGATCGCCCAGGCATGCCTCAGGATGACCTTCAGTGCTAAACATATCTGACACCTTAATGGTTGAGGCAGACAGGGATGTTTGTTTAGTCTCTGTAAGGAAGAGAATTGCTTTCAAATTATCTCTGCACCTGTCTGCTGCATTGCTCCAGTCAGCTGATTGCTCTTTCTGCCTGCCTCTTACACAGCTGCAGGTGTGACTGCTCTGCTCAAGCTGAAACGTGATTGGCAAAATGCAGCTCCATTATGGTCACACATAAGCAAATGCAGGGGAGTGAACATTGCCTGCTGATGCGAACGCGCACAGTTCTTCTTTGCTATCAGTTGTGCCTGCCACTTGTCCGGTTCACCAAAGTTAAACTCCACGCGAAGATGTGTGACTGTGCCCTTACCCTTTGCTTAGAATAGAATTGATCCTTTGCTAAGCTACGTGCTACCTGCTAATGGTACATGTGTCAAGCCTTCCACTCTCCCATGGCACATATGCAATACATACAATGATAACAGTGGATAACATTTCAGACAGGTAGACTGAAATCATACGTACAGTTTTGTCGCTGGAAACAGCTGGCTGCTACAAGCAAAGACTACACTATTACACTATAAGAGTTATAAGAGTGAACCAAAACAGTACATTTGTGGGCTGGAAAGCTGTACAGTGAGCTGAAACTTGCTATAAATCTGTAAAGCGGAGGGGAGCTTGAGATTCTGGTGATAATTCTCTGTAGGTTCTTCACTGAGAGGGACCTCTCTCACATTGTCTTGTCTCTGATATCCAGTAGTCTCTTGACTCCCACACAGTGCGTGTGCTAATGATATGGTCTTTGGAAGTAATTCTTGGTTTCTACTATTGGGAGTAGTTAGGCGGACAAACATTCTGTTTAATTGATTAGTTATAATTTTGCTCGTGTTTTTTTTATCTTAAAGGTCTAAAGAAATACACCACCGTCCAAACTTTTGGATGTGCATGCACTCCTCTTCAGCATGTTCAGAAATCCAAAGCTGCTATTGGACAATCATTGCTGAGGAGAAGTGTATTTGCATTTTTGAGGCAAAAGAAGGTTGGGTCTGCAAGCACAAGCTATAGGCTATAACTTTGCTTTCAAATGCATTATTGTTGTTAAATTCTGTCCCTGTTGTAGCCATACAGGAGCCCTCCTATGTTGCTGCTTCTCACAATGCAGAGAGAAAGGTTTCCTGACGGCCCTTTCAGTTCCACCTTTTCTCTCACATTGGCTAGACATTGAAGAATTTATTATCACAGGTTAGAATTCAACAAAGGGGATCCTTGACCGGCAAATCTGCTGGGTTTGGCTCTTACATGAAGTGGAAATGCATTCTTTTGAAGTTCATCGGTTGCATATTTGAATGGAAGGGAATCCGAGGTGTGAATATTTGCAGAAATTGGTGAAAGTGTCACTGTGGCGGTCAGGGTTTGACTCTCTCTCTGTGATTGCTTGTAAAGAAACTCATAAAACTGGAAAAGCATAAATGTCTAAAGCCTGAGCTGTTTTCACAACCTTAATGCCAGCTGAATCAAATTTAATTTGCTCTTTTCAGTTTCACTTACTGCCAGTAGCACACATGCTCATGTGTATCAGTGGGGGTTTGATAAGGTTATTCATTGATACCATTTACTCAGTCATTACTCCATCAAGGCCCAGGTGTATACATTTGATACATTAGTTATAACAGAAAACACATGCAGTTAGGTGCACGTTTTACAACAGGAACACGCCTTTGAGTCAGCCAGGCTCAGGTGTGAATTTGCAATTAGGCAAAACATTTAAAGAGGAACTTTTTGTTCTGAGATTTGTTTTTTTTATATAGTTGTTTAAATTCTCAAAAGATTTAATAATTTAATAATATTTAAAGCTGCTTGTCTTATTATACAAGAAGTATTTTAATTCTAGCATAGTGGTTTAGATATTACCACTGTACCAATTGTACTGTAACATAATTATTCTCATCAGGTCATGATAAGCCGTTTTTATCTACAGGGGGAGTGGGTCCTCTTCACGGAGGCCACTGTGTTGAACCTCCATGTTTCTACAGTAGCCTAGAACGAACAAATTAAACACCGGCCACCATAGTTCCTTCGACGCGACGAACTGAATTCAGATGGTTGCAATCTGCAACATCACCGGTCTTTTAAAGAACACTATAGATGTAAAACTGAAAGCAATAGGGTGTGAAAATTAAATGTGCATTTTTGTAAAATGTTTGGCCTGGTTTTGATGACTTACTATGCTTAGGTAGTTATTTTGAAATTTTGACACAGCTTTGTTAATTGTTCCTGCATACCTCTTATTATCATATAGTCCCTTTTCTAGAGCTGCCGTGGGAGTTTACGTAGTTTTCAAGAAGATGTAGATTTTCCTCTACTCTCTCTACCTCTAAATTTTAATGTTTTTATGGGCACAATTTCTTGTCCCTATTTGCTTGAAAATGTAGTTAACAAGGTTCATCCTTGACATTGAAAACAGCAGAGAATGGCATTGTACCACATTCTGTTATACTGAGTTGTAGCAAACAGTAACTGTTGAATGTCGTGTCTACAAAAGATTTCATTCAAGACTGTTAGGAAACCAACTTACCAACAGAAGAAACAGAGATCCCATCAGAGTAATATTTCTGATCACTCGTCTAACACAAGTCCAAAATTCACTTTTAACTTGCCCAGGTTGGTAAAACAACTTCTGAGAAAATATATGGGTTTGTTGGCTTGCTAGACAATGAGCTCACTGAACCATTTAGACATTTCGCACAGGACAGGTATTGTACTGTCCAACTGGCACTTGACCTTTGGCCTTCTGTACCACAAATGTTTTTTTCGGGTTGGTAGATGAAAATAATTAGCTGACTTTCAGTGGGATCAGCAGTTTTAGCATCTCTTTCATATTACTGGCAGTCATTTGTTCAAACATTTATAAAAAAACTTTGTTTCTTCTACTTGTATTCATCTACATCGCGACCTAATATTTTATTTTATAGATTTTAAATCATCTCCTGTATCCTAATCTGTTTCACTCTTATTTGCCTAACTCAAATCTCTCTCTCCTTCTATTACAGAGTTGCAGTTTGCAAGAAACCCCATCTGGCAAGGAGTCGTGGAGTGTCACTAAATGAACAGACGTCAAGTCGCAGTGAGTATACAGACATTCGCTCGCAGCACTGTGTTTGAAACCAGTTCAACAGCAGTTTAATTTTGTGCAAGCTCAATTTCATTTCTAGTATATTGCTGCCTTCAGGAGAGAGCAGAGCTGCTGATTGGCTTTTACTGTATGTCCAAACTAGGTTGAACCGGGGTGGTTCAGAATATATTTAATGCTAATTGTGGTTTAGAATAAAAGCCAATGAGAATATCAGGACACATGATATCTCCCAGTTTTACTAATGATGGTCTCTGTGATCAGTAAGTATCAGTAATTAGAATATTAAAACATTTACATTTAAGGTACAATGGAAAAAAAATCATTTTTTTAGTCCAACAAATATTTCGAATAAATATTTTCTCAGTGTTTCATCTCCATAATGTCTCCACTACACATCATGAGTCACATTCAGTCTCAAGACATGAACTCATAAGCCTGTTATGCACCGCCGGCCGCTGAGCTCTTCAATTAATTTTGGCATCTTTAGTGAAATCACATCACTAAAAGGAAATGTGAGCAGATATGCAGTTAAAGTAGGGAACACAGCGTTGAGCCAGCCTCCATTTCCTTCATGATAACACTACAATTTCCTTGCAAAAGGAATCCAGCGTGGAGAATTACCTACAGTGTCATTTTCTCTGCATGATCACACAAATTTTCCTATCGCAGGTTTCTGCAGAAAGTGTATCAGTTTATCTTTGCCATGTAGTGGAACTTCTTCACCAGTGATGCCGCTGTCAGCAGTGCAAACAAAAAGCTGATTACAGGGCAGAATTATCTAGATTGCCTGTCTCTCTTAGCATCCAGAGATATCATAGGACCAAAGAACAGAGAGAGGTACTTGCCTCGCACACTTGTTTATAAGATAATATCTTTTACGATAAGTCCCCATTCCCAAGCCCCGCCCCAAACAATATAAATGTATATGAGGGAAAACTAGGGCAAGCCTGAATCAGAATTTCAATGGAGCACATTTTTGTTTAGACTTGCAATTTTCGCAGTAAGCACCACCACACCTAGAATATCAATCATAAACTGTTATTCTTATGTCTCTGAGATGTGTTCTGAGTGAGACACCACTCTGCTCAGTGGAAGTGGCACCGGTGAAAATATCTACAATAATCACTACCACAGGCAGATGTCACACATTGTTATTTTTTCCCTCCACATGAATTATTCCTCTCATATGAAACAGCGGCAACTCTGCCACCTTTCTCTCCCCCGCACTACTATCAACACCTTGACATTTCCGAGTCCTATGTGACCCCTCCATACATTAAACAACAACATTAACTGCTGTTCTGCTTGCTGATTCAGTTGCACAGTTTTATAGGAATGATGCTCAGAGATATTTGGCTGCAGAGGCCAAAAATAGAAAGTGGGAGATGATGGATCGTAAAGTATTGTGTTTATTGGACTTAATGGAGCTCAGTTTATAGGTAGAATAGTGAACCATTGAAATAGGACTGTCAGTGGCCTATTATAGTCACCATAAAGCCCCCGGCTGCCTTCAGAGCACTGCATTAATGTGGGCAGGAAACTTAGTTAGTCATATGTTGTAAAAGAATAATAAATGAGAATGCTGTGAAACGAAACGTTCGGCAGATTGATGAGTTCAAATTAGGGTATTCTGACTGAAGTCTGAATTCAGCTGCTTATTGTGTTTGTGTTAGTCACATATTGGCATTTAATTGCTGTGTGGTTTTACTTCCTTAAGATGTCATTATTTTCAGGGTGCCAGAGCCACACGCTGTGAAAGCTCCGCTTCGAGTGCTCTTTCCTGTGGTACCAGCCAGAACTTGACGGATATTCCCGCCACCTCATTTAGCCTAAGCTTGAATGAAATGAATGGAGAAGCTGATAGGTGCACAAAGATGTGCGAATGTTGAATTGGCAGGCTGCACAGGTTTGTCTGCAACCCCTCAGAAGTACATTTTAGCCCTTACAGCTGATTGACTCTTGGCTCAGCCTCATTAGTGAGTTCGGAGAGGAAAGTTTCATGCAGGTGGGGTGGGGAGGGAGTTTCATAGAGCATGAAGGCCAAATACCCCGCTTCCCATGACAATACCAAGGACACTGTTTTGCCGACTGCGGAACCGTGCCAGAGTCCTTGCCTCATCTAAAATGCTGTTTCACATAATGAGAGCAAGCTGAAAACAAATAAACCAACCTGATAATGAGGCTTTCCCTCAATTTCGGCGACATTTTTCCAATAAGAATCATCTGTGCTTTTAATAGACAACAAACATCTGTGCTGCTTGGAAACAGAGAGTCTAATTTGTTTGGTAATTGTTGGCTGAGCACAGAGTGAGCTAACCACGGGTTTTGTCAATAGCTATTAAAGTTCTTAGAGATATATTAAAATGGTAATTCATTACAGTATGCACTACTCTTATAATTCAACTGCTGATGTAGGAAGGATGTACTCGGTAGTGTGTTGTGTTTTCACAGCTAGGTTGCTGTCCTGTGGAAACCATGTATTTCAAATGTTTTAGCTTTACTAGCAATGAGGCTCTAGGTATGGCAATGGTTAATGTGTGGTTATGCATTTTGCTACAGATATTCAAGATTTCTAGATATTCTTCTAAATTCTAATGACTTTAGTGATTCCCTGACTTTCCCTCTAGCGCCACCAGCAGGCTGAACTTTTTGGTTCAGGATGGCAATTATTGGATGGATTGCTATAAAATTTGGTACACTAAGACTATTCTTCTAGCATGACTATGAGGGTTTTATTATTGTAATATTTCAATAACTATTGGATTGTTTGCCATGGAACTTGGTGTAGACATTCATGGTGAGAATTTCAATCAGTTTTAAGTCATACTTCCTTTAATCTTCAAATTATGCAATAAATAGAAAAGTATAGAAATGCTTTAGATAACCATTTTCACAGTATTTCGGTACATTCGAGGTGTCTGGAGTACATGTTGAGAGCTGTCTAAAGTGTTTTTTGTCAGAGAAAAATGTGTAAAAGTACAAAACAAGATCATAATTTACATAAGAAGGTGCAGACACATTTTAAGATACAAAACCAGATGTTTTCTGTGTGTTTGTTGTCCATAAAGGACTGTTTCAGATCCAGCTGTAACATGCAGCTGTAATGTATTCAAAGCAGTTTCTGTTACTCTGACAGTACAGAGGTTTATTCAATTAGCTGTAATTCTGAGGCTTTGCTAATTAGTGAGGAAAAATAATTATACTCAGATGACATCCTTCAGGGACACCTTTCCACTTGGTTTGATCGCAGATGCACAAATTAAAAAAGATAGACCCTGAACGCAGTTAAAAACTCAATCATCTCCTGTGAGTCAGTGGCGAGAAACAGGTGGACATCGGAACATAATGTCGAGCCCCGTTTTACTGTACTTAGTAGTACACCTGTGATGTTTCAGCTACTCTCTGGTGCTTTGCATTTTAAGAGCTTCCTTCCAAATGGATATGTTAGCCACTGTTTGGAAATTGACATATTTTCTCACAAAATGACTGATAGTAGTAAATTAGGACAAATTACAGTCAATTTTACGCGATAGTAGGTTACTGATGACCTTGGCTGACAAAAACGCTTTCACAAAATGAATAATTTCTCTTTTCAGCCTTTAAATGATGGATTTTGTGGCTTGATGTTTCGTCTTGAATACGAGGAAGCAGTCAGAAGCAGAACTTCTTTAAAAATGCTCAAATTTGTTCTTGCCTTCACAAGAAGGCAGCTTGTTAATGCTGACATTTCTGAAGATAACGCTGATTCATGCAGTTCTGACAGAAAGATTGACAGTCAAATAAATTAGTTTCTTTTCAAAATGAGATGTCACGTTTTTTAAATAGTCCATAAGTTCTTACTTGTGTAATAAGATGGTGTACAGCATTTGTTATTAAGAAATGGAGTATATAATCATTGGTATTTTTAAAAATTTAAATAATAATGACCACACTCATGACTCTTCGATTCGACACATCCCACAAGGCAGGAGGTGACATTTTTAATGGCTGGTTCCATAGGAAAAATCATCACCTGCCACCTCCATTGTTTTGGTTGTTAAATTGAGGCTTAATTGCGAGGCCACAGCCAGCACAATAAAGCCAGAGAGGTGCTGACACAGGTAGGAGGTAAAGTGGAGGATAGATTGGACACTGCTGGGGCCGGGCTCACACCGCTGAGAACAAAATAGAGGTCCCTCTCAATAATGGTGGCGGGGGAAAAATGGTGCTTGTGAAGAGCAGAGGGAATGTTGCCGTGTTCTGACTTCTTCTGTTGTTGCAATGTTGATCATGACATTCAGGTCACATAGATTTTTCAAATCACAGTATGACTTGTATCAATTTATTTTTTTATTTACTTTTAAAAGCTGAATCCCATCGAGGTCAGGGACACAGACAAACAATACTAAAAAAGCTGAAAAAAAAAACAATACTAGAACAGACAAAACAATACTACCCCAGACCAAACATGATAAAGCTGAGGGGAAAAAACAATAATATAACAGAATAAACAGGAAATCAAACGCAGACAAAACAGCAAGCAAAACAAAAAAATCCTTCAAATTAATTAAAATGACAAAATATGTCCTTCCAAAGCTTTACAAATCAGTGCTGAAAAACAAATGATGTTGACAACTCAAAAATTGTCCGTTAGATTTAGGGAAAGATCATTGTAAAATGTGGTCTTAGTTAAGTTAGGGAAACATTGTGGTTTAAGTTAGACTATTTCATTAAAGTTAGGGTACCTTCGTCATCACATTAAGATTGGAAATTTGAAACTAATAGTGTTCTCATGTGATAAAGTCTGATGTTTTGCACTATTAAACAAGCACCGTATTTCCTCCTTTCCTCCTGCCATAAGAAGGCCGTGTCAGTCGCGTTGAGGCGCTTCCGGAAACAAGTGATGGTGCTGCTCTTCTTAAGTTTTGACAAGAAATATTAAAACTGACAGAACTATACTTAAACAAACAAAGAACACTTACTAATACAGACAAAACACATCGACAAAACAA